CTTTCTCCTTGCACCGCGGCTCCAGGCGGGATGGATCAGCCGCATGCCCGAAGGGAGAAGCCAGACACTTCCCACTCATAGCCCCAAATAACTCCCTCTCCATAGACGTAATCCCTCGGCAAACAGGGGCGCAGCCGAGCTCTCCGCAGCCTCTCTGACCACTTATAGGAGCACAACCCAACGCTCACCCCGGGCAGCTCTCCTGCCTGCAGAGCAGCTTCCCCGTGGACGCCACCGTCTCCTCGCCAGTCCCATCGGTCCCGTGCCCACCGCTGTCCTGCAGGAAAGCACCTCGGTGGTTCAGCCTCTGAAAAAAAAAAAGCTCTAGAAAAGCAATAAAACAAACCTGGTGCTGCATTGCTGGGCTTTTTTTTTCACAGCACGGCGCTTGGCAAAGCTCTGCAAGCACCAGCTCTGCACCGGGGGCTTGCACCCGCAGCCAAACGCAGCCACCTCTGAGGCCGTGGAGAATTCAGGGATTTCCCAGCGATCAGTTAAACACTCACGTCATCTCCCCAGCTTGCAAAACCCCGAAACATCCACAAAAGCATCAGGAAGCAGGCTGCAAACTTCCATCGGGGTTATTTTTAAGCCCCATCGCAGAAGCACGTACACGCGCTGTTTAGAAGATTTTTTTCTTTACCTTTTGGGGTTTGAGGGGTTTGGGTGGAGGGGAGTCACAGTGTAAGTTTTCCTCCAGCCAATGCAAAAAAAAGTGATTAATGCTTTAAGATAAAACCCAAGAATTCTTATATTTTTTGTGTGTATATGAGGCTTTAGTGACAAATTAGTCAGGGCTGGGGGAGAAAACACCAGCATTGATGCTCCAATTTAATATCACACTCGTAAGGGGCTCGAAGGACATTTCAAACGCTCCGAAGGCTGGCTGCTCCCACCGAAAGGATGCAAAAAAATAGAAACCCCCCTCCCGCTGTGCTCACCACGAGCCTCCGTCCTCTATTTCACGGGCCTTTGCTGGGTGTTCAGATCCCCACCTTTCCATTGACAGCTATTGTTTCCAGGGGTAATTTCAGGCTTGGCCCCCAGCCAGTTTTTCAATCCTACCAAGGAACAGAGAGATAATTTCATTCACCTCCAGGGTACAAACAGAAAAGGAGGATTTTTTGCGTGTGCTTTCTGCATCACCATCCCCTCTCGCTTCCTAGGGGCCCAATGTACATAATTATCTCTGCTGGCTACACCTAAGCAGGATTAAATGCTTTATGTGATAATAGCTCGCAGCAATCTGATTACAAGGCTGCCTTTAAATGCGTAACGTGGTTTGTTTTGGTGGTTTGTTGGTTTTTTTTTTTTACCACACGCCAGAAACGAAATATGAAAATATGGCCAACGTACATCCAAAGAGGCTGCCTTCCTCCTCGAGAGGCAGAGCCTTCGACAAGCCAGGAGTATTTAAGCTGGAGAAAAGAAATGTAGCAGAACAGAGGGAGGAGAAGCAAAGATACAGCTTTATGGCATTGAGACAAATCAGCGCCAACTCTGAATTTCCCATTTATTGAAACCAATCACAGTCAAAGGGTCAAATCCATTGGCAAACAGTAGTTTTGTATCATCCGGAGCGACACACAAACAAAGTACAAATGAAACCTAACCAGAAAAAAATAAAAATAATAATAATAATAAAAAAGAACCAAACAAAAACGCATGGCTCCACGGCTCTAGCTTCGTTTATTCAAGCCTGTTCCCTCTGGCTGCCCTTCCCGCAGCCTGGTGGTCTGTGACTCCCCCAAAACTTGCCACCCTGCTCCCCCGACAGG